ACCGCCCGAAAGCCGAGCGGTTAAAATTTTTAAACAATCATAAAACACTGCCAGTATCGGGAACTTTTTAGAAAATGCTTTAGCATGTTCAGAACTATTCGAAAAGTATTTTAGATAAACCGGAACTGCGACATTTCGTACAGCATATCACCCTATTCTTTTTAAATACTCGGCTTTCGAACGGTACCATTAATTTACAAAAAAATTATACAACATTGCTAGTGTCGGGAACTCTTTAGAAAATGCTTTAGTATTTTCAGAACTATTCGAAAAATGTTTTAGATAAACCGGAACTCCGAGATTTCGGAAAACTAGCAGATAATTTTTTCAATAGACTTTTTTTGTCAAAATCAACAGAACTATTACTAAAAAGTACCAGGAACTATAGAACTCGACTGCATGCGACAAGAATTCTTTTTTATTTTTGATCTGCTAGAAAATAATCTGCTACGGGAAGTTAGCAAATCATTTTTTCGATCGACTGTTTTTGGGGTAAAATCACCAGAACTATTACTAAAAAGTATCAGGAACTGTAGAACTCGACTGCATGCAACAAGAACTCCCTTTTATTTTTGATCTGCTGGAAAATGATATGCCAACTTCACAGACACATTGATCTCATGCACAATAAAATAAAAATCAAGATTTTGTACTACAGTTTTTTTTTCCAATTATTAATAATATATGTTTTGACATAATAATTTATACTAAAATTTTATAAATTTTTTGTCGTATAGAAACTTTTGGAGCCGCTTAAATACATTGTTCCATGTACTGAAAAACATAGATGTACCAAATTAACACGTGTTTTCAACTATTGGTTTAAAATATCATCGGATAAACTGCAGCAGATTGACGAAATCGTCAAAATTGCCTACAATGCATGCATCCTGTAAGTTTTTTACAACCCAAATTTTCGACCTTTATAGTCTAATAAAAAAAAAAACTAGTTCAGTAAAAAAAAATCTCCCGATGGAAACGAGAAAAACTATCGCAAAACATTGTGTATAAATTTGAAGCAAATCGGTCCAGCCGTTCTCGAGATATTCTGATCACCGTCCGCGAGGAACACATTAACGCCGGCCACGAGAACAGCGCTCCGAGGGAATGAATTCCCTTAAAAAAATTTGTGAACGTGCCTCAATGTAGATACTTTTAAATAAAAAAACCAGGATCGAATCGAATTAATAGTTTCCAAGATAAAAATTCCCGAATTTCACCTTTTTTTCTTGCGGTCTACTCATATGTACCCCCTTAATATAATAGTTACATTTGCTTCCTGCATATTGTATTTATTTATGTTAAAATAAAGTGCGCACGAGATAAAAAGTAGGACATAATATTTTACAAAAAAATTAAATTTTACTCTGTTATTTGTACTACAGTTTCTTTTTTTCCAATTATTAATAATATATGTTTTGACATAATAATTTATACTAAAATTTTATAAATTTTTTTTAAATTGCTCTTTTATTAGTTACGACGATATTCAGGATAAAGCCATTTTGCGAGATGGCATTCCCGTAACCCATTCCGTTCATGGGCTTTCCTGCACGATAAGCGCCACCAATTACGTGCAGCTGATCGCTTTTGAAAAAGCTTTTGAATTACATCCCGTTGTAAGTTTTAAAGTATCCACATTACTATATTTCAAGAATTGCAATATTATATCATAGATAGTTGAATTATAGCATTAAATGCTTTTTAACAAGTTTGTCCTCAAGTAATTTAAAAACTTAGAAGTAATAAAGACGATGTGTGTGTGTGTATTTAAAAGATACACACATTCTTCAAAAATCTCACGACATGTTTGCAATTAAGCACTTATAAAACTGTGTACATATTTCTTTACGATCAGCACTGTATTGATTACAACCAGTACTAATTCGAAGCTCAACAAAATCGCGCCAATATATTAAATTTTGTTAAATACAACATAAATTAAGTTATTTATTTTTATATCTTAATTAACAGGCAGCTAAAATCTTAACTGAACAATTACTGGAATTTCACAGAGGCCAGGGAATGGATATGTATTGGAAGAAGAATTTAGATTTAGAGTGTCCAACTGACAACGATTACCAGATAATGGCGGAAAGAAGTAAATGTTTATGATTTTGTGATAACTTTTATTATCTGTTGAAACAGAAACTCCATTTTAAAAACTAAATTACATATATAAAATTTGAATATTAATTAATTTTATAGAGGCTGGTTGGCTGATAAAATTAATGACAAAATTAATGAAACTATTTTCCACGTGTGAAATAGACTTATCCTCGTTGCTAAATTTAATGGGGTATTATTATCAGATACATAATGATTATTCCAACTTGTGTATTTGTAGGGTAAGTAATTTGTTTAATTTTCATTATTAATTTGATTAATTTTCTATTATGTGACTTGGGTCTCGGAACCTCTTGAAAGATAAATATAGATTCTCGAATGATGAAAAAAAATCACTGTGACGTGAGCTTCATTTTCTCGACACTGGGGTGTAAAAATCACGAATTTGTTATTATTACAGGATATGAACGATCAAAGTTATTGCGACGATTTAACTGAAGGGAAGTTCAGCTTCCCTATTATACATGCCCTTAAATGCGGTAATAGCCAGAAAATAATGGGTATTTTTTTAGAAAAATAATTATGTTTAATATAATATATATACTTATTTGACGTAGAAAATTATTTATTAAGTACGCATTTTTCAGATATTCTAAAACAACGAATTACCGATACCAATCTTAAAAATAATTGTGTGGACTTGTTGGAGGAACTTAGTTCTCTCAAATACACGAGGGACACACTGGAAACACTGGACCAAAAAATAAAAAGAGAAATCGAACGTTTAGGAGGGAATCCAGGTCTAGTAAAGATGCTGGACGAATTCAAGAACGAGGTGTTGTGCGGTACTGCTAAGGTTACAACTAAATTATAAAACGTCGAATATTTCGTGCAAAAAATAATGAATAATTTTCGTTTAAAAAATTGTCCGGGCAATCGTATATTTCGTTTTTACAAGATACATTATACCACAGAATAGATTGTTATGTAAAGTTGAACATTTATTTCTTATTGAGATTTAATCTCGCATATTTTCAGATTGTTTGTTAATTTTCTCTTTACATAATTATACATATTGTACAATATAACATTACTAATTGTAAGTATATTAAGTAATTGTAAATCACTTATTTTATTTGTAAGCCTTATTTATCGCTATATGTATCTCTTATTGTAACTTTTTGGCGACAGTATCAATAGTATAATTAAATTTCTTATTTAATATTTTTGCAATACGTTTTATTTTTTTTAAATATCAAAAAAATGGAGTTTTTTTCAGCGTGACTTTTCTATATAAATAAATTCACCGAGTAAAAGACTTTTAGAAAGTATTTATTAGCAATTTTATATACTGACAATTTAATAGCATAACGAATGATCCTTTATAATGAAATTTTACGGCTGTTTTGTACATGTCATGCAATTATACGTTATACATTTATATCTATATTTATATCTATATTTATATATCCTAAAAGACATAACGTATAGAAAATTATACTTATATTATACTTATATTATAGATTATTACATGTAACTAACAAGTGTCTAGCTAAGAAAAATATTCGCGTATATTCATTCCTTCACGTGCACGCATAGAGATAGGATATCTCGCATCGTTTTTCCTATTTCGCAGATTTGTAAATCTATAAATTCAATTTCTCTCTCTCTCTCTCTCTCTCTCTCTCTCATCTTGTCTTTATTCTTAAATTTACCGAATCTCTCATGAGATGACTCCTCCGAAACTCTCTCAATTTACACCATTTTAAAAGGCATTATTCGGCCTCGTACATTTCTCGCATTCGTTCTTGTCGCATATGTAATCGGGTGTTCAATTGACTCCTCTCTTAATACGCGACGAGATCGAATAGAGGTCCATCGTCTAAGGACTAAGAGAGCGTGGCGATTTGACATGTCCTCTGTTCAAGCTCGCTATCCTCGTCGGATTCGCTGGCCCAGGAGGACCGTCGCTCGTGTCATATCTCACCGTCGCTGTCCCCGGGACAGCGTCCTGGTCCTGACACGCCGTCATCGAGAACTTCCGTCACCTCGTGAAACAGACAGATAATGGGTATTGGGTAAGGGCGAATCGAGAAAAAAGTATATTTCGTAATAAATCGATGCAATAAATATTTCATGAGAGAGAAATCAAGAGATTAACATTAAAATTAATTCACGAACTTTTTGCAATATTATTTGATCGCCGACCTCGGGAGCACTCACCAGAACTTCCTCGAATCGGTCGTAATTCTCCTGCCTGGAGTTCAAGAGGCTCTCGCCTACCGAGTCGGCCCCCGATTGGCAAGGATCTCGTCGTCCTAGCGCGCTCGATGCAATATGCAGCAAGGACAGTACCGCCAAGAGGCCGGCTGCAAGCACATATATATCTGTCAGGAGCTCACGGAAATAGAGTTGAAAAAGCCGACGTCCTTACCCGCGACATAGGACAGCCAAAGTCTATTGGGTCGCCACGCTAGAATGCAGGACAGTGGTAGGTAAAACAACGCCTTTCGCCAGCCCCGCGTGGCCGCCAGAACGCTGGACCAGCAACGCAAGCAGAGGGAATCCTCGTTCCTGAGAGAACAAAACGTCAACATACGCATATATCGTTTTCTCATAAAAAAAATCCGCGAGATTAAAAGAATTATTTTCTGAAATAACGTTTTAAATAAAGAATTTAACAATTCGATATATCTGAAACCCTTTTTTATCTCTTTTATTCCACTGTTTTTTATTTTAGGATTATTTTAATTTTATTTTAATTGGCTCAATTTATTTTAATTGCATGTTGAGAATTGCATCGATTTAAGATTATATCCTATTTTCCTTGCCAATGTGTATTTGACACATTATAGTTACGGTTCTTCAGAGCGAGCGAGATGTTCCTCAGACAGTTGGTGCAACATCGTAAAAGTATTTACGTGATCGAATTATCTGACGTTCGCGGAACTAGAGGATTTACATGATTTCCATTCGATAAACAAAAACTTTTGCGAGAACGACGTCTTCCGCTGAATGCCGCAGGCGTGCAATCCAGTCTTTAGTCTTGATTATGACCCCATCAATTCCACTTAAGTTTCCTTCTTAAAGAAGCGGAGCGGTAAGACGATTTTTCCATCGATATACAACTTTCAAATACTCTTACCGAGTACCCTCTTTACAGGAGATTAACAAACTGAATTCCGAACGGGCAAAAGAGATCAAAATAAAAGTCCGACTTGTCGTATGTACCTGCACCAGTATCCTGCACATTTTACGCTACATTCTTTATATTATATTTTTTTCTAGCCAATGTAATACACAAAAACGTTTGTCTAACTAAAATGTTAACGTGCGCAGTGGCAATTGCGTTCGCAATGCAATTTCGCCGCGGTAACTGTATCGAAAAAAAAAAATTTCCGGGAAGCGATTTGCCCGAGCTTTCGAGATTATCGAGGAAATCTCCGCGCGGAGATAATTATCACGCGCGTTTCAGAGAGCTGCTAATGTACGAAATTAACCGTCGCGGCAAACGTAAACTCGCCTAATCAGCTCGCGGAAGATTAATATACGTCATTGTGGCGAGGAAAATAGGAAAGCACGACAATCGTCTTTATACGCAGCATGCGGGTCTCGCAGTAGGAACCTACAATAGGAACCTTCCTGTCCTGAAAAGTGGTCGAGAAAATCGACAAGATCAATTTAAACAGAAAGGTTTGTCTTTGAATATTCCTTCAATAATTAACTCGCTGAAATATTTTTAATTGAATTGCCCTCGATGGAAGGAGACCGAGAGAAGGAGAAGATCTGACGGATCTTCATCCCCGCGCGAACGGATATAAAAGAAGATGTCTCCATTGGAAATCCGCTTTTCTGCAAAGCAATGTTATCTCTCCCTCTCGATCATCTCCGCGTAGATCGGAGTGATCGATCGTTCCGACTGGCAGTTTTAATGGCACCGTCATCGGAGACATAAACTTCCGCGGCAGCATCGATTCCGGACGGATCGCCAAGCTAAGTTACTCGTTAAAACCGTAGACCCTGCAGAACTTCTTTTAATATTTCCTCCCCCTAAGCTGCCGAAGAACGCTGGCGACGTCGTTCCATTGGTCGCCGTCTCACGCTGATCAATATGAGCAACTTAAATCATAAAAACTTGCCGATATAACCCGGTTCAAGACAATCAAGACCAAATTTACCGAAAGGCTTGTTGAAATTTATTAACGTACATTAACTCTATCGGGAGACATAAGACAGAAAATACAGCGGTCGGAGATATCTGAATGAATTAATCGAGGGAAGCGCCCGCAGCACACGCGGGAACGGTATAATCAGCTTGTTAATTAATTATTGTATATATCTCCGCAATTAACTTCAAAGACGCGGGGAAATTTCCATCTTCATTTTGAGCCGTGCGTGACGCATTTATCTGGCTTAAAGATGATTACCCCCGGCGGCGCGGCGCCTCACCGCATCATCCCCTCCGCATCCGCGAAGCGTTATCTAGTTGTCGGTAGTCTACCCGTGCACTTTCCTCGCCGCTCCTCCCGCTCTCGGGAAATGCGGGGAAAACTGGGGCGAACTTCCGACCTGCTTGGTAATTGCCGGGCTGGCTTTGCGCCGCTTCTTTTCCGTGTTATCCTGTTCGGACCTCGAACGGTGTAATTCCCCGGGGCCCTCTCAACCCGCCCGCCCGGCCGTGTCCGCCGAGCATATTGTTCCCGATATACATACACGGACCAATTTCGAGCAATTTGCAAAGTCACAGTACACTCGCGTTTATACGTTCGTACATGAACATTACACCGAGAAGTTTATGTATTAAAACCTGGTCGCTTAATTTTCTCTCTCTCATGTATTTTACAAATACATCATTATTTTCAATTAGAGAAATTGCCATTTATGATCCGAGCTGGATCTTGGTATAGCCTAATAATAATATTCTGTAAATTTTGTATACTTTTTTCCAAACTTAGCAAACTGCGCGTCGATATTTTTTATCGGTCTTTAACGTTCCTAAAGTACTCGCTTAATTTTTTTATTATAATTATATTCAAGCTTAGCCTATTCAAGAGAGAAAGAGAGAGAGAGAGAGAGAGAGAGAGAGAGAGAGGATTCTATATCAATCTAAAGTCATGTTTTATTATTGATCGTTGCAAAAATCACAAAATGTTTTTCTTTTTTAATTTTAAAATGACAAAATATGCAAACGACGAGAAAATAAATGCTGTCAATATACATGTCATAATTTGAAATTCGTCTTTCTCGTTTACGATGCACGTGGAAATATTTCTGTATACATGATAACTTTAAAAAAACACACTCCTTTTATCGAGATTCGATAATTTAACGGTCTCTATACTCGACGGTTCGCGTATAGATATAGTATCTATTGGATATACGGTCTGTGTCTCGCTACGGGTACACTTGATGCGAGACACCAACGTGTCTCTTGATTAGGCTACCAAGATCTGACTCTACAGCCCGGACCTTAAATGGCAATTTCTCTAATTGATATTGTATATTACATCAGTCCTGCTTCACTCATTACTGTCCATAATTATCTTCTTTCTTATACTGGTTCACAAACAAATTTGTACATGGATTAAGTAAACAGATAAATAAGTGAGAATATATTTTTCTCCAAGTGTTAAAATCCACCGAAGCTACGTTCGTCCAAACGTACCTGGCGCAGAGCTGCACGAACAGCGTGATGGCCCAAGTCACCTCCAGGAAGAAGATCACGCCCGACGCCGCCCTGTAATCGAAGACGCGCGAGAATTAGCGGACGAAGCGCTGCGTCCGGGGAGACCGAGTGTGACACAAAAGTTCGCGTCCCGTCGTTGGAACATACGTCGCAAAAGCTCGCTCTGCCCAACGAGGGCATTTCGGATATTTCGAGGGAACAAGAGGGAGAGAACGGCAGCGAGTTTTACAGTCCGTACGAAGGTGGAACCCCACGCGAAGCTGGTTTCTTTTTCTTCTTCTTTTTTCATAATGGTACATAAATAAGAGTATGAATAAAATAACAATTCCGTCACACGAGAGGTATTCATTTCAATGTCCATATATCCATCTGTATCACCGAAACGTGATCCGACTTTGTCGGTGACGCTCGACGGCGCGCGGCGTTAAGAGTGATTCATCCCCGAAAAATCGCTCTGTCGCGCAGTCGCGCGTGATCAATGATTAAGGACGCGCCGACATAGAACCGCGTAAAAAATGCAAGACATCTCTCTCAATTTCCCACTCCGCGAGATTCTCCACGGCGCCAGTTGGGTAATGTCTGGGTGAAAAATTGCAACGGACCGGACGGGATATTTTTATTTCTTTGCCCCGCTCGTTGTTCATTGCGTGCGCGCCGATGAAACGCCGGCTATACGCGGATACGCGAGGGAATGTCTAATCGAAAGCTATAGCGCTCTCTCGTGCGTCGGAATTGCGAGTCGAATATAATTTGCGGTTAACGCCAATGCGTTCTTGTCGACAAATTAAAAATTGAAATAATGATTTACTCGAGACGACTTTAGACGACCCGTGAAAAAGAATTTGGGACGGAGTTTTTGTTTATTAATTTTATTGATCGCGAGAGATATACTATTTTTACAATTATGATTATCCATTCGAGACTCACCTGGCTTTATTAATTATAGTTATATATCAAGACGTTTCGACTATTGATTTGGGTCCTTTTCGAGTATAAATCTATAAATCACAAATTTAATAACCAAAAAGCCATGTAAATTGTAACTCGCCCTACCACAACTGACAAGGAAATCGATACTATACAATAAAATGTTTTAAAAAAAATAGATACCTAAGTTATGAAATCAGTAAATAGCCTTTTACAAACATCTCCCTGGTCATGACATCGCAAGCCGAAGCAAGTCATAAATCTAGAAGCTGAATTTAAACCGATTAGAGCAAAAGATAAAGAGATCAACGTTAATATAAATTAAGAGGCTTTACATGTTTCGTATGTCGTATAATCGATAAAATAATCCGTGTAACAATAATAGCATCTCAAATTAAAAAAACAAAAGAAATTAAATACTATTCTTCTCAACATTATTTTTGCTTCACATTTACAAGAACTGTAAAATTGCGAGACATTGTGAGACATTCTGTACTCATAAACTGAGCAAGTTATAGATTCTTTCAGATGCGAGCGAAGGGGAATTTTAAATCCGATTAAAAAAGTTATAAGGATATTCTAATATATGTACACGCGTTTAGAACCCGTCAGACCGTCAGCTTCTCCATTTTCTCCGTGGCCGAATTATTACGTTGTCTTAAAAATAATCTCGTTTAGACATCGCGCTTCCGTCGCCGATAATCAAATCAATCCCCAAATTAGATCTCTCAAGAACGAATCGAAAGTGGATTACTCGACGAGCAAAGACGGTCGGCGAGAGATTTTCAGCGTCGTTTATCGCGCTTAATTATGTGCCAGCCTCCAACGAAATGGATTTTATCCGGGAGTTAACGTTGTGTATTTAAATTAGACTGTCGTGTTCACCCTTTCGTTTTACGTTTAGTTAAAAGCGGAAGATTACTTCACTCTCTTCGCTCAATAATTTACTTGTACATGAATATTTTATTATTTACACAGCACAAAAGAAAATCGAGGAAAAAATTCGTTCGCGATAAGCTTCACGGTGGGGTCCAAAAGTTTCCGTCGTTCTCGTCTCGGATTGTCTAAAACCAGCGAAATGTCCCTTCCGTGAAAACTTCACGAAACCGTGGTCGCGACTCTGTATTTTTCAGCGTTGAATAGCGCAGTTCTAGGTCAGATAAATGATAGCTCTGTCCGGGAAGGAAACGTCTGGTCGCAGTGGACGCCTTTCAGGACGAGTTTCAACAATCTCCGACGAAACAGTCGCCGAATGCACGACGATAAATTCGCCGCCTTCGGCAGAACTGACAGATAATAATTGCTCCGGCGAGAAAACGGCGAATTAAGAGGAGAACGCGGACGGGGAAAATCTCTGCCCGTAATAAGATCTCGGTTCGATTGGAAGAAACCTCTCGGCGTCGGGTCATCGTCGGGGGATGATCTTCCCCGTCGACGCCTCTCCTCCTCCCGATTCGTCCGGGTCTCGCGGACAGCCGCGCGGCGCGGACGCGCGGCGGTCTCTCCCTCTCGCGCGGTGTCGACGCGAGGATCGCGATCGAAGGGCTGA